CCCGTCCCCCACTCACCCGTAGAAGCAGTGTCCCGCGCTTATCAGCCAGCGGGTGTTGAGCAGGGACGCGCCACACTGGTACTCCCCCGTCCCCCACTCTCCCGTCCCCCACTCACCCGTAGAAGCAGTGTCCCGCGCTTATCAGCCAGCGGGTGTTCAGCAGGGAGGCCCCACACTGGTACTCCCCCGTCCCCCACTCCCCCGTCCCCCACTCACCCGTAGAAGCAGTGTCCCGCGCTTATCAGCCAGCGGGTGTTCAGCAGGGACGCCCCACACTGGTACTCCCCCTCCTTGTACAGCGCCGCCTGCCACGGCCACGAGCCCGGCGACGAGTTGGAGCCTCCCACGATCCTGACCCACGTAGACAAGGGTTAAGTGGGTCATATATGGGATAATTTAATCATATACCACGCAGTCAATAGATAAGTGGGTCATAAATGGAATAATTTAGGCTGTGTCTTGTAATATGAACGCGCAAAGATTCGGACCCTGTCGAATTTTAGTATTAGGATAAATTAATAAACAATTGTGGGCCTATTTTGATGCTCTGTGACAGCATCAAATGTTCTCAACTATAGTTATATGTTGCTCTTCATGTTAGGCCATATTTATATGTTGCTCCATATCTATATGCTGCTCCATANATGTGTCTGTAACATTCCTATGTTTACATTTCTAATGTGTCGGTAGCATTCCTACGTTTACATTCCCCAAATGTCTGTAACATTCCTACGTTTACATTCCTTATGTGTCTGTAACATTCCTATGTTTACATTTCTAATGTGTCGGTAGCATTCCTACGTTTACATTCCCCAAATGTCTGTAACATTCCTACGTTTACATTCCTTATGTGTCTGTAACATTCCTATGTTTACATTTCTAATGTGTCTGTAGCATTCCTACGTTTACATTCCCCAAATGTCTGTAACATTCCTACGTTTATATTCCTTATGTTTCTGTAGCATTCCCTAAGCTGGAAGCTTCCACTGAGTAAGGATACACTCTACAGGGTCCTTATGTTCCAGTAAGTTAAGAAAACCAACTTGTTTCTGTTTACTGCTCCTTAATACATTAGTTATCCTAAAGCTAATGATGGATTACCAATTTAATCAATTTAGAAATTTATTTGAAGGGATAAAAAGGGTGATACAATTAGTGAAGTTATTCAAATAAGCTGAGTGGACAACAGGACGGGGTAACAAGAGGTATTAGTGAGTGAACACCCACCTTGCTGTCCGGCGTAGCAGGTCTCCACCCCGGTACCTGGCAACACAATGAGCAGTATGACCATATTAATTTCCATGAGAAAGATATGATATTATTGATTACGTGTAGTATAAATGACCAAAACCATTAGATATCAGCCAAAACAATGAGATGTCCCAAAACAAGTCCCCAAAATTAGCTAATGTTCACCCGGGGTTAACGTAGAAACAATTAAGTGTTTATATTCCCGATAAATCGTAGGTAGAAATGAATTGAAGCTGAATGTAGTTTATAGAGCCAAGTTTTTCTTCGTTAAATCCACCCCCAGTTTCTCCAACAAGGGCCATACTTTGATAACTGGCTAAGTGAACGTAAGCACTTTCGATCTATTTTCTTGTCTATGATTAAGTGAACGTAAGTACTTACGCTCTATTTTCTTGTCTATGATTAAGTGAACGTAAGTACTTACGCTCTATTTTCTTGTCTATGATTGGTGGATTTTGCTTGAAAGGCCGTCAATGATTGGCTGATGAACTTACGATCTCTTAACTTTTTTTGAAAGTATAGGCCAAGTTTATGCATAGCTAATCTATCGCACTTACTTGGCCCTGTGGCCCGGTGCTTGAGGGCGCACGCCGCACTGCAAGTTTCCACACGTAAGACGGACCACGTCTTTCTTGGGACACGTCGTCTCCGAGAAGAGAGACGTGCTGCTTAGCAGAGAGTTGTCGTGTCCAGACACCGCATCGTCATCCATCATGTGTTGGGACACACCGAGGCTTGCGGCTGCTATCTTTTGCTGCAGGTCGACTAAGGAGGGAGGTTTGGTGACGGTTGAACTAGAGGATTCTTCATATGGATCGTCAGTTGGTTCGTGGATGGAATAAGTAGGAGCGTGATCTGTAGCTGATGGTTTTGGAGGTTTACCTGTCAGCTTTAGTCGATGGTTAGGTAAGTTGGTTGTGATTAGTTCTCCATGGATTGTATATTTCTTTTCAGGTTTGATTTCTTTGTGGCTTTGTTGGTAAAACTCGTAAACCGTCGTGGTTGGTCGGGTTGCGATTTCGCCATCGTAGAGATAAGCGTATTGTTGTGCGGAATTTTTCAGATCGTAAAGGGAAGCTCGTTCGACTTTAGTGGTATCGGGCAGAATGGTTGTTGTCGACCATGTGGTGGACGATGAAAGCTGTTCAAAAGTCCCTGATTGATTCTCAGAAGTCGACAACAGAGGTTTTGGAGTGTACCTGAAAGGAGACCGTGTAGTTCCTGTGTGACCGTAAAAGTTTCCTCCGTACCTCATGGGTGCGTGTTTCAACTTTTGACCCGCACTGAACTTGTGTGTGTTGGTTGAAGGATACAAAGGCTCTCCTACAGCTGCTGTTCGTCCATCAACGGTTACTGGATAAACTGCTTGAGGATGTGGTCCCTCAATGTGTGATGCACTGGGATTTCCCTCTTGAAAACTGACAGCGCTTGTTGACCTTTTAGTCATACGTTTTTCAGCGATGGCATCACCTGGAATCGCTTTCTCACGGAAGCCCATACCCGCTTCACTGAGTATGACAGCCAAAGTCCTTTTCGGTTTTGGTTTAGAATTTGTTGATGCTGCAGGCTCTACATCAGATGATCTTCGTGACCTGGAAGACTCGAATTGGTTGTTTGGGGTCCATTCTTGAGCGGTAAACTCGAAGTAAGTTGATGACGCGAACGACTGCGTGGCGATACGGGACAGCAGACTTTGCTGAGGGTCTTGAATGCGTTCGATGCTGCTCAGCGACCTGCACGTATGAATGATGCAAGTGTGTTTGGACTTATTAAATATGATGCCGAATATTACTGCATATTTTCTATTTTTAGTAATTCTGGATTTTTATAGATTTATTAATTCTAGATTTTTCCAGATTTTTTCTTGTTAGAATTCTAGATTCTAGAATTTTAGATTTTTCTAGTTTTCTAGATTCTTTTTCTTAATGCTCTTGCATAAGGGAGCTCATACTTTGAGGCTACTTCGACAAAGGATAAAACTTTTATAATTGACTGTCATGAATAACAGTCAATTAATAATAATTGACTGGTTTCTTATTCTTTACTTTCGTGATAAAAAATTGCGAATTGAAATATGAACTTTTCACATCTCACGTCAAGTAGTGCATTATTATGCTCGTATATCACCGTATTAATGTACACAGTTCAGCGTCATCCACGCACCCGTATGACAGCGTACGGCACACAGACTCCCCCAGCTGGGTGACGTCGTAGCGATGCTCTCCCCCATCACTGGGGGAATGTGACTCCCCACCCCGATCACTGGGGGAGTGGAACAGCCTCCTCATGGAGGATGTGTGGGTGGATTCTTCCAGGTTATCCACACACAGCTTCCCCCAGCGTCCCTTCCTTCTCACCATCACGTAGCCTGGACAAGAGGGGGATGATGGTGGATAATGATAGAACGTTTTAATAAGGATGGAATAATAGTGATGGAACGTTTTAATATGGAATAATAGTGATGGAACGTTTTAATAAGGATGGGATAATAGTGATGGAACGTTTTAATAAGATGGGATAATAGTGATGGAACGTTTTAATAAGGGTGGGATAATAGTGATGGAACGTTTTAATAAGGGTGGGATAATAGTGATGGAACGTTTTAATAAGGAATAATAGTGATGGAACGTTTTAATATGGAATAATAGTGATGGAACGTTTTAATATGGAATAATAGTGATGGAACGTTTTAATATGGAATAATAGTGATGGAACGTTATATTATGGAACGTTTTGAAATATAATTATAATAATGGAACGAAATTATGAAATTATGGAACGAAATAATGAAATAATGAAATAATAATGGAACGAAATTATGAAATTATAATAATAATGGAACGTTTTGATAAGATGGGATAATAGTGATGGAACGTTATATTATGGATGGGATAATAGTGATGGAACGTTATATTATGGATGGGATAATAGTGATGGAACGTTATATTATGGATGGGATAATAGTGATGGAACGTTTTAATAAGGATGGGATAATAGTGATGGAACGTTTTAATAAGGATGGGATAATGAAGATGGAACGTTTTGATAAGATGGGATAATAGTGATGGAACGTTTTAATAAGGATGAAATAATAGTGATGAAACGTATTAACATGGATGGGATAAGGAAGATGGAACGTTTAAAAGAACAAACACAAAAAAAGCTGATGCTTAGGCCGGTGAAAGTTGATTTTCTGTAAACAGATGTTTGAAAACGGCCATTAGATTTAGTAATATTGCAGTCTAGAAAGGACAAATTATTGTTCGATTCTAGTTCCATGGTAAATTTAACACTTTGACTCCGAGGTGGTACATAGGTGTACCACAAAATATATTTCTCCAGGAAGTAGTGGTACATAATTCAGGTTGCCTAAAATCGGCCAAATCCGAGAACAAAAAAAGCAAAAAAAATCCAATAACTCATAAATACTAGTTTATTTGTTGATTCCGCTATAAAAATTGCATTTATTTTGTTTTTGCAGTATTTAAAATTTAATTAGGAAGTACCCCTATCATAAATTTTAGCCGGCCAACGCAATTGAGAAAAACTAAATCACGGAATTTGTCCGGAAAAATGACCGTCTGGCAACCCTGCTTAAAAACAGTACAGAAAATGAAATAATAAAACAAGATGAAGGAATCGGAGTCAATGTGTTAATAGAATTTGTTGCAAGTTTAGGTAATCGAAGAAAAGTTTTACATGAGAAGGATGCTTGAAAATAATAAAGGTGGCACCGACGTGTCTGTTATAAAAAATTGGCTTAAAATCAGGAGGACAATTGGTCAGCCATGAAACCTAGTGAAAACACAAAAAATATTCGTAGAGGTTGGGCAGAGGGGAAGACCCATGCCCAAGACGTTAATCTGTCTGTAAAATTTACCAGCAAATATTTGCTGGTGACGCAGTTGTCCTCACATTCATCATGGTACTGGAGGCCCTGGGCCGCGGCCTCATCAGGCGCGATGGTGACGCAGTTGTCCTCACCTTCATCATGGTACTGGAGGCGGCCGACAGCACCCTGTTGCACCCCTGGACACTGACTGGCTTTACCGGTAAATCTATCTGCTTCACCATCAGGCGCGATGGTGACGCAGTTGCCCTCATCATCACCCTCATCACGGCACTGCTCCTCACCTTCATCATGGTACTGGAGGCCCTGGGCCGCGGCCTCATCAGGCGCGATGGTGACGCAGTTGTCCTCGTCGTCACCCTCGTCGCAGTCGAGGCGGCCGTCGCACACTTGCCGCTGGTCCACGCAGCGCCGCGAGCCACTGCAGATAAACTGGCCCGGCGAGCACCACTCTGGGGGAGAGGGGTAGAGTGGGGGAGATGGGGCAGAGTAAAGTGGGGGAGAAGAGTGGGGAGAAGAGTGAGGGAGATGGTGAGAGTCTGGTGGGTGGAGGGGGTTACGGGGAGCTCCGCTCTGGTGGAGGAGGGGGAGTAGAGTGGGGGAATAGAGAGGGGGAGATGTGGGAGGTTCTGGTGGGTGGAGGGTGTCGGTGAGCACCGCTCTGAGGGAGGTGGGGGAGAGTGTGGTGGGTGGAAGGGGTGGGTGAAGTGGGGATGAGGGTGTGGGTGGTGGGGATCGGTGAGCACCACTCTGGGGGAGGGGGGAGTACAGTGGGAAAGAGTCTGGTGGTTGGAGGGGGTTACCGAGAGTAGAGTGAGGAAGATGGTGGAGAGTCTGATAGTTATTTGAATTTTCCCGGAGAATTGCAGAATTACAAGTTTTATTTGCCTTATTTGAAAATCGATGAAGACAACATGTTTTGATTAGTGAGACGAGTTATTAAACACTGTGCATCGATGTGAAGAAATTTAGGTGCCACTATAGAAAAGATTTTTTTGTCACGGAGGGCCGACTAAGACCCTCCGTAACCTGAGTGTTTTGCGTCCAGCAGAGCTCAGTCTCGTCGGCCAGCATTCGATGGTCCCGAACTAGCGCTCACCACAGTCGGTCTCGTCGGCCCAGCAGTTAATGGTCCCGAACTAGCCCACACCACAGTCGGTCTCGTCGGACATGTCCCAGCAGTCGATGGTCACGAACTAACGCTCACCACACTCGGTCTCGTCGGACATGTCCCGGCAGTCGATGGTCACGAACTAACGCTCACCACAGTCGGTCTCGTCGGACATGTCCCAGCAGTCGATGATCTCGTCGCAGATTTTCCTCTCGAGGAACTGTGCGCGCAGGAAGTCTGCGCAAGAACAGTCCAGCTCATCGGACTCGTCAGCGCAGTCGCCCACCAGGTTACAGAACTTGGCCCTCGGCAGACACTCGCCAGACCCACAAGCCCGCTCTGTCGGGCCACAATCTGGGGAGTAAAAGGTGAATAGGGTGAATATGAGACGAAATGGTTGAATATGAGGCGAAATGGTTGAATATGAGGGTAAAATGGTTGAATATGAGAAGAAATGGTTGAGATTAAGAAGGGGGCAGATTATAAAAATTTGAGGTGAAACTGCGATAAAAGAAAAAATGGCAGATACGCGAAGCTGAAAAAAAGAAGTTTTTCTGGCATATAATAAATTTAAGGCGTCCATTATAATTATTATGAAATTCCTCAATCGGAGAGGCTTGTAAATAATTAATTAGTAATTTTTCTTGTCATATAATGAATAATCTAACCTGCCTAACATGCCGACAATTCCTCGTAATCACGCTCATTTCTCACCCACTGAGTCGTTTAGCCCGTGTCTGCTGACGGAGACGTCAATGGAAGTGATCACCCGCAGCGGCTTCACCGTAGGCGCCGCAGTCGTGCCAACGTTTGCCTCTCCTACCCCGGCAGACGAGGGAGCTGGAGAGGGTGACAGGGGTGTAGTCGCCGCACCCCCGCCCTCCGTCTCGTTGATTTTGTTCATCGGTCTCGTCATCACAGGAAACAACTCATAGAGCTCGGAATGAGCGGTGTAGTTGAGAGGGGCACTGGTCGTGGTTGAGGTTAGGAACAAGCCGCTGTATAACCTCAGGAATTCTTCCTGTGTGATCACGGGTTTATTTTTGAGTTTTGTTGTGTTCGTTTTCTCGCCTTCGACTTCGGTTAGTTTCTCGATAAGAGAAGTGCGCTGTGTTGTTGTTATGGTTTGGTCTACTGTTGCTCCCGCGGTGTTATGTGAATTGGGAGTCGAATTCGATATCGAGTTTGGTTTCTTGGTAGTGTATCTCAGTCCACTGATCTGCACGGGGCTTCTGGTGGCATTTTGGAAGATCGAAGAGGTAGTGGGAGTCTCAATTTCACTGAAGCTATTCCCTGTAGCATCGACTGTAGATACATGCAGTGTTTCTTGTGTCTTTTTCACTCGGTCTCTGTCGCTCTTGACAGCAGAGATGCCCAGAGACTCCAGCGGGAGAACATCTTTTAGGAGTATTACTTCTTTTTCAGACGTCTTTGACTGAGAGTTTTCTGCTCGAAACTTTGAAGTTGAGGAATCGTTTCTTAGCTTATGGTGTTCTTCCTCGGTTTTGGTTTCCTCTACAACTTTAGAGATATCGATAACGTTCATGTCTTTCAGGGAGCTTTGGGAAATGTTAGTGACTTTGCTATTCTCAGGCAAGGTCTTTTCTTGAGTGGAGTGATGGACGGAGATGTAGCCTTTTGATCCATCGTAAGCGCTGTTTTTCACTATGTTATCCTCGTGAACATCATCCAAAAACTCGTCGTAGCTCTCCCCATGCTCAACACCAAGTGACTCCAGATTATCCATTCGTTCCAGGAAGCCATTATCAGTCTCCATCAAGTCATGCTGTCTTTTGCCACTCTTCTCTTCTTCAATGAGCTTTTTGAAGATCTCCTGAAGGAGGTCGTGAAGAGACTGCCCTTGTCTCAGCACGAAGGTGTGCACCGGTGACTCAGTCGTCATGGGGATCCCGTGACCCCTACTGGAAAATTCTGCATCGCTTTTAGTGAAGGCTTTTCCATCGGAATGCTTAAAGTCCTCGGTCGTGATGTACACGGTGATGATCTCGTCGTCGCCTGAGTGGTACATATTCTTCGGATGGACGTCATCCGAATTTGAAACACGACCGTTACCCCCAGAGGTACTGTGTGAAGATGTGGAAAATTTGTTCGGTGATTCGTTCTTTTTTGGTTCACTTACAGAAGCTTTGTAGTCGTTCAAAGCCAGCTGAGAATTATCGAAAGCTCTCCTTGTGAAACGGAAAGGGTCTAGGTCAACTAACCACGATGGGAACAGAGAGTTGGCCGCCCTCTTCGCTCGAGACCTAACGGCTTCGGTTATTTCACTTTCACTCATGTAGCTCTTGAGCTTTTCCTTGTCCAAAGTTAAGCGGAAATTTTTGTCTTCTGTGTGGTTAGCGGAAGTTTCTCCCGGCACAGGCTTGTCGCTGGAGACCTCGGTCACGTGGATGGACTTAAGGAGCTGTTCGCGTATGGACTCCAGGTAAGCCAAGTCTTCCTTGAAGGTTTCGAAGTTCAATCCGTCAGCTTCACTCTTCTCGCTGCTGTTCGCTTTAGGTATTTTCGTTACTGTAGCACTCCGGAAAGCACCCGGGTTTTTCAAGCTGATTTCAGAAAGTTGAATTTCGGCGAGTGTTTTTCTTGAGCTCGATGGCGTAGTTGCCCAAATAACGTTATCGTCATGTCCACTGGCTACGTTGCTCTCAGATCGAGACCTAACAGATTCTTGTCCGATCGTATTAACTGCAGTGTCATTCAGAGAACTATTCGTTCTGTCAGGATCGCTTGGAGTTTCACTCACGACTCCGCTGTCATTATTGATATTTTCTGGCTGATCCAAAGTTAGATTTGAAGTTCTGAGACTTGTTTCCAAAAACTCAGATGCCGGCATCGTCATCACATCGGAAAGTTTCTTTGTGTTAATTTTTAACGTATTGCCATTATCGTGGTAGCCTGCTGGTGGTTGGATAACATTGTTTTCCCGTTGGGGATTTTGGGATGAAGAATTATTTATTTCATTAAGAGACACGTTGAAGAAATTGTTGTCATCCTCTGTATCGTATCCTTGGTCAGGGTACAAAAACTCTCTCTCGTAATAATTCTCTGGATAGAAAATATCCTGCTCATACTGATTCAGCTCTGGTACTTCAGGTTCAGATTTTATTTCATCCAACAGCCGGCGGAGGTCGTCTGTGGAAACGCGGGACAGGTCAAGGTTGCGCAAATCGCCCAAGGAGAGTTGAGTTGAAGATGGCCGAGATTCATGAGGATTAGTCTGTCCACCTGGCTGCCGTTCGCCAATATTGTCGGATAGTTTACCTTCCTGCAATGCTTTCTCTTCGTGGGAATCCCGCAGCTCCTCAGTCATTGTAGGATCTGACAAGTACCTCTCGCTGAGGTCCCTGACGGTCTCCAACATTGGTCTCGGTGGTCCCCCCGTTCTGAATGAGTTCTCATGTTGCGAATATGGAGTAGGATTGCGTAATTCACCAGGGAGATTTCTCTCTATGCTGTTCATTACAGTCTCTGCCGTTAAGGAATCCAAGTTATCAGAAATCATCACAATATGTGAGCCTTCTAATTCTTGCGTTGCCTGAGTAGCATTGTCACCTGAGAGTAACTTTGAATTTTCTTCATGGATTTTGACTTTTTCGGGCACCATTCCAGGAGTTTCTGCAAGTTTTTCATTTTTCATGAGCGTCTCTACGAGCTTATCGAGAGGATCGGAGCTTAGAGAAAAGGACGGTAAGTTGCTACCTCCACGTCCTTCGTTTTCGTTGAAGCGTAAGTGCGGAGTCATGGGGGTTGTAGACGATAATCCAGCCACAGTAGGGTTTGTGTTCACGATCACCACTCGAGGGTAATTCATTTTGCCTCTGGTGACTTTGACGAAGTCGACGTGATCGCCAGTGATGACTGGCACGGTCAAAAATCTATCGTAGTTCTCAGTCTGGTGTGTGACCACCGCGGGGTAGTCGGTGGAGGGCACATAAATTGGATTGAGCTGTGGTTTCTTGGTAGTTCTTTTGTGATTAAACTCAACATTTGAACTTTGTGACGTCACCACCTCGGTGTCGATGACAAGCGGCTTGCGTGTTGTCAAGAAGTCCCGGATCGTGAGTCTTGTGGTGGAAGTTGGCATTGTGGCTGGAGGCTGTAGACTCGTGGATGGCGGCTTGACAAAAGGCTTATTCTCGAACTGGATATCAGTACCCAGAGGAATAGGGTTGATTTGTGAGATTAGGTCTCCTGGAAGAAACATTCGATCAGCAGGAACGTTTTGGTTGTTTCTCAGCAATGACGAAACATGGTTGGTCATCATTTGGTTGCGGCGAATCTGCTCCTGAGTTTGTTGGAACAGAAGTTGCTGTTGACGATATCGTTCGAGGTGTTGAGCAATAATCTGGTCACGAGTTAAGTTTTCTGAAGGTCTCCGGCTGGAATAAGAAGTCGGGAGTCTAACCACAGGCCCCGTAGTGGAGGGTTTTCTAGTGAACGGGCGTCGTGGGTCCTGGTTCCTGATGAAATTTTTGCTGTTGGTGAGTTGATGTTCGAAGTGACCGACCCGGCTCTCGAATGAAGTGAGCGCTGATCGGTCCGTGGTCCTCTGAGTCGTACGACGTTTGGCAGGGGAGGCGGGGGTGGTTGCTTCAAAGCTGATTCGTAAATTCGGGTGATGAGATTCGAGAATTTCACTCGGCATCCGACTATCAGAAACATCTGGAGCTGAATCGACGTGTTCGGGCATGGTGTTAGGTTGCAGGTTTGTCAGAATCCATTCGCTCAAATTCATGTAATCGTCGACATCGGGATCAAATTCAGTGTCAGCAATGGCTAGTCTGTCGGATGGAACATCGACGTTGATGAAGTCGAATGAATCTTCATAGTCGGGCTCCGGTTGCGGTTTTGTCAGTCCTCGAAGACGGTCCAACACTTTCAGTTGAGCCTGTTCAATTTCTGGTGATTTTGATAAGTCCTTGGAATCCTGCGCTAACTGCTCTTTTTCATCCGTTGTGGATAAATCCTCAATTTTTTCCTTTTGTTGGTTCTGAGTGATTGACCTCAAAGCCATAAACTCTCTTTGGAGGGCCTCGAGCAACTGTTCCGGAGTATGAATTCCCACTTCACTGAGTATTGCGAGGGAGTCATCCACCGTGAGTTGATGGTTCTTGTCATCAGGCGGCAAAGTTGACGTAGTGAAGTGCGTCTCCTGTGTTGACGCTAGACCTGGCACTGTCAAGGCATCAATGGGTCTTTTCACTTCGTGATTATTGAAATAAATACGGTTAGGTTTTGTTTCCTTGTTGTTGATGAAAACAGTTTCGAGTTTTTGTGTCAAGGTCTCGGTGGCAATTTTTTCTTTTGAATTTGCTGCTTGCTCTGAATTCAAATCCTCAGATGGGTCTTGCGTGTCTCTATCTTTAGGCCTTTGGCTATGATAATCAACAGGCGTGTCTTCATTTTTTTCGACGACGTCTTGGAAAGTAACGAGGCGGTGTTGAGGAGCCAAGCTGCTGCTCGTCTCATACCTGACCCTGCCATTAGGTTTCTCGTACAGAGATGGCATTTCCTGAGTAATAATAGAAGTAATTTCGTCCTCCGGCAAATCTTGCTCGGCCGGTGCATGTGAGGTGTCGTTTTTGATTTTAAAAGACTCCTCAAGGATCGATGAAGCCGGGTTCTGTCTCTTTGGTTCAGTTTCAGTTTTCGCTTCATGTCCCTCAGTCGTAGATTGGTTCGGGGGCGCGAGCTGCTGTTGTCGCAACATTTGCTGCTCCTGCAGCAACAACTCCTGCTCGTGTTTCAGGAGTTGTAATTTATACTGGTTTTCTATTTGCTGGATTTGATACTTACGCTGCTCTTCCAGTAGTTTTCGCAAGTTCTCTTGGTACTGCCTCTGCCTTTCTATGTGTGGATCCGTTGGGATACGGTCGGCTTCTTTTGTCGAATGTGTAGTTGAGGTAAGGAAATCAGGTACTGGAGTAACTTCTAAGTCGCTACTGAACATCTTTCCTGCGCTCAGTTCTATTTTTGACTTCGGAACTTCTTTAAGTAGATCCATGTAGTCTTCATATGAATTGTAATTTTTAGGAGCCACTGCATCGCTCGACTCTTGTGTTGTTTTATCGTCTGGTTTCAGGTCACCTTCAAGTTGCTTTCCTCCTTCGGTTGTTGTGGAAATTGTCCGATTATCGGATATGAGATTCTTAACGTGACTCATGGTCTCTATGAGTGCTTTGCTCATCTCGTCTGGGGTAGAAGATAATGCAAGCAGATTCAAAAGTAAAGATTCTATTTCTTCCCGCGATGGTGTTTTTCTTGTTGTTGACGCATCAGGAGTGGACGGTGTTGACATGACGGAGGGCGTTGAGCTTGTTGTGGGAGAGGATGTCGTAGTTGAAGACGTCGTTGACTTCAGAGTGGTTGTTGAAGTGGTAGAGGAGGTAGTTGCAGGGCTTGTCGCTGCTGTGGTTCTCGATGGAGTCATGGTCTCGGTGGTGGATTTGGTTGTTCTTATGTGGGCTCGATCGAAGGCGCTCATCGTGGACTCCCTGAAGCGGTCCAGGTTGAAATCCTCGAGATCCTCACGAGCGAAAGTTTCGAAACCTCCATCTTGGTTGTGTACCTTTGACTGTCCGTCCTGGGTCGCCTCCTTTTCTGATGGCTTCCTGATAATAAAAGTTTCCAGGATTGGCTTGGTCTTAATGAAAGCCGGATTACCAAGGGTCGGACGGCTTAAGGGTCTAAGAGTTGAGAAGAATCTTCGTGTTGGGTACTCCGAGAGCGGGAACGGGGGTGACACAATGATCGGGTCTTCTGTCGCTGAAGGAACCTCTTCCTTTCTACCCGCCGTTCTTGGAGCGGTAGAATCTTTTCCAATTTGGGAGTCACGTACGTTTAGAGACAGAGCATCTGAGTGGATGCGCAGATTCTCTATCTTATCTTCCTCAAGGGTTGGGAATGCGTACTCGTAGTATGCATCGCTAGCCGCTGGGGCTGCCAAGTCCCCCCCATCGTCGTAAAAATAGAAGTAATCTCCGTTCTCCCCTTTCACCGTTACAATTCGACCACCACCCGTCAAAGGTACCTCCCCATTTTCTTCAAGGCCCCCGAGACCATCTATCAGCTTATTCGGTAGCTGGATGGGAAGGTCAACGGGTATTGGCGACTTTCTGCCATTGTCTGCGTTTTCCAGGCTGGGTGTCATTGCATCATTTTTTTGATGCGCGTCTATTGCTGGAGACTTGATCCTTTTAGCTCCTTCTCTCTGTGTACCTGGTTGCTGGTTCTCCATCACACGCTGGTACCGAGGCTGTTGAGTGTTGACGCGTTGATACCGAGGCGGGTTAGTGAGACTCGGCTGCCTTTGGTCTTTAATGTGGATTTTGTAGAGCATTTTATGGAGGCTGTCTGACACATCGCTGTCTCTCGGCAAGGGAGACCCAAAGTCGGTGCTGCTCATGTCCGAGTCCGAGAGAGGTGGGCCCATGACGGGCATCCATGGTCCCTTCTGCACCTTCAGGTTGCTGACGGTGCTAGGCTGGGTGGTGCTTGTAGCGTTTGGGGCAAAAATCGGCATTCGGGAATCATGCTGCGGAATGAAACAAAAATTCACTTTATCCATCAAAAATTAAGTGACTGAGCCGTGAAATAAACTGTGTAAAGAACAGGACAAACTTAAGTAGAGTCCAATTCCAGTCTGTCCACTTCCTAGACCAGTATTGTAATACGGCCTGCTGCCCTCACCCAGAATATGCAGACCCAGAGCACGAAAAATCGGTCCCTAACTTGAATATCCAGCCCTGAACTCCTGTCTCCAGGCCTGTTATTTGTGGAAAACTAATTCTTAAACATGGAACTGATCCTATCTCCAGGCATATTATTTACCTATAACAAATTCTTGTTAATGGAACTGAACCTTGTGCTCTCTTGGCCTTCCACTTGCACCTTGTGCCCTCTTGGCCTCCCACCTGCACCTTGTGCCCTCTTGGCCTCCCACCTGCACCTTGCGACCTCTTGGCCTCCCACCTGCACCTTGTGCCCTATTGGCCTCCCACCTGCACCTTGCGCCCTCTTGGCCTCCCACCTGCACCTTGCGCCCTCTTGGCCTCCCGCCTGCACCTTGCGCCCTCTTGGCCTCCCACCTGCACCTTGCGCCCTCTTGGCCTCCCACCTGCACCTTGCGCCCTCTTGGCCTCCCACCTGCGGGGATGCCTGCTCCGTGGGGCGCGCCTTGACCCTTATGATGGCGCCCCCTGGCGCCTCAATGAACTTGTACTCCTCAGCGCTGTCTTCCCTGACACTCAGCACGAGCTTGGGGCTCACTGCAGGTGTTGCGGGGGTGGCAGGAGGGTCAGGGGGGTCAGGCCTCCTCACACTGGGGGCGGGAGGTGGGGCCCTGCTGGGGTCGAAGGATACCGCTTCCGACGAAGCTTCTTCTGCGGAGGGAGGACTTTTTAGGGTAGGAAGTCTAAGGAATGAAGGTTATCTTATTAATGTAAAGGATATTAAACAGCGGTACGTAATAGTGACTGAAGAAACCGCTTGATGACATGGGCATATGAGGACATGACTCACTGGTCACCCACTAGTCACCCACTAGTCACACCACACTAGTCAACACACTAGGTACGACACACTAGTCGTCATTTGGTCACCCACTGATCACCAATGGGTGACCGTTGACTAGTTCTGACCACAGGCATCCGCACTCCCACATCAACTAGTCACCCACAAGTCACCCACTAGTCACCCACTAGTCACCCACTAGTAACCCACTAGTCACCCACTAGTCACCCACAAGTCACCCACTAGTCACCCACTAGTCACCCAATAGTCACCCACTAGTCACCCACTAGTCACCCACTAGTCACCCAGTATTCACCCACTAGTCACCCACTAGTCACCTACAAGTCACCACTAGTCTCCCACTAGTCACCCACTAGTCACCCACTAGTCACTCACTAGTCACCCACTAGTCACCCACTAGTCACCCACTATTCACCCACGAGTCACCCACTAGTCACCCACTAGTCCCCCACCAGTCACCCACTAGTCACCCACTAGTCACCCACTAGTCACCCACTAGCTGTCTCTTATACACATCTAGATGTGTATAAGAGACAGCCCATACCACCACTGCCACGGTGGTCACCCATACCACCACTGCCAGGGTGGTCACCCATACCACCACTGCCAGGGTGGTCACCCATACCACCACTGCCAGGTGGTCACCCATACCACCACTGCCAGGTGGTCACCCATACCACCACTGCCACGGTGGTCACCCATACCACCACTGCCACGGTAGCCACCCATACCACCACTGCCAGGATAATCCCCCAGCTCCTCACCTCTTGGGACTTCCCACTCTCTGGGCCCGACCGTGGCTGGGATTTTCTAAGGATATCTCGACAGGCCGCGCCGGTGTTGCTTGTCCTGATGGAGTTGTCGGTTTTGTTTGCACTTTTGGTTCCTTGGTTGGCGGCAAGCTCAGTAGAGAGGCCTCCCGCACCCACAGCGGCGTTGGCGACTCTTGTTTTAAGTTCGTCGACGTCGATTTTCTTGGTTAAAGAGACACTGCCGTCATCGGTGATAATGGATGGTTGAAATTTGCTAAATATAGACGTCATCTCGTTCACGGGTTGATTACTCGAAGACTCGTGACGCAGGCTGCCCTCCTTCAGGTGGTCGTTGTTCCTGCCCTCTCGATTCGGTGCAACGTTGGGAAGCCTCGTGATCCTCGTGGGGCTAGGGACTATCCTGGACTTCCCAGTCTTCTGAGGCTTCACTGCATTTAATGTCAACTGTGCGTTTGTGAGCGTGGGACGTTCGCTGGAATTTTTCGTCGCAGCAAAATTATTCGTGACAAAGTTTGTCTTTTTCTGGAAGCCCTGGCATGGACTTCCGGTGCGTGGTACAAAACCCTGAGGTTTGTCCTCATCATGTACACGGAGGTCTTTGTCTGCACCGCTGCTACGCGATGACGTCATCATCCCCGTAACATTGTTACGCTGTTGCCCGTAAGCCTTTGAATTGTGTGATGACGTCCTAACGGTCATGACGTTGTATTCATGCATTGCATCACCTGCGAACGTGTCGGTAACGCGTTCACAGCCTGGAGCGCCTGGCTGCCGCACGTTGCTCCCTATAGACGGTTCACTGGTCACTCCAATTCTACTCGTTGCTTGGTGCAGATATTCATACGGCTGCTCTGATACCTCAATCCATTCTTCTTTTGGCCACTTCATTTCTCCTGTTGAACCATTCCCAGTCCTTCCTGGCTCACTTTTCTCTGGTACATTTCCCTTTTGAAATCCGTCTGTCCACTTTTCTCTTTTTCCAGACTCCTTTTTCCCTTCTGCTTTTTCTTTCATTTTTGATGGCACCTCTCCTTCTTTTACATCCCAATTTCTACCTCCTGGGGAAACCTCTCCCTTTTCTACTGCCACCTCATCCGTTCCTCCTGCTGTTGTCCCTGTCACATAACCTCTTATTTTCCGCACTCCTTTCTCCCCAACTCCTTCGACAGCTTCTCTTCCTTTGCTCGTTTTTCCTGCTTCACATTCATCGTCTTGATTGTCTTCTGTTGAACCTCCGTAGTGACTATGGCGCCCAGAGCGCCCTCTGGGGGGCATGTTATTTCCGGTCTGATTTCCTTTTGTTCCGAGCTTGGGTTGGAGCGAGGGAACGGGAAGGTCAAGGATGGATTCCTTTCTGCACAACTTATTTTTCATCATTTCCGTTTCCATCTCCAAAAAATTTTTCGCCATGCGATTAATAGCTTCATTTTTCTGAATTTTGGAGTTTCTACTGCAAAGATTGAAGCCATTGTCGCCTCTTTCGTCCTTGGGAAGATGCCAGGAAGAAGTTCGCTTTTCGCCCCACGGCTCGACTATGGAGGTCTTGACGCGTTCGGTGTCTATGATAGGCTTTTCGTCGCCCTTTGTATCACTTTGGTCATTGTTACCGCTGCCCTTCTTGTTATGGTTCTTTTTGTTCTCTATTTCTGCGTTCACGTTAGTCAAGTTGATAACACATGTGTTCATTGGGTAGCGCATGGCAGTGCTGTGAGTGTTAGCACTGCCAACCCACCCGCCGTTCTGAAGAGCAGTGTTGCAAACATGATTGTCGTCTCCCTGTATGAGACACGTGACTGAGTCGCTGTTGCTCTGTAATATGTCCACCTTTGATACGTGGTTCTTCTTATGCTCATTGAACATTGTTGTATCAGTGTTCTGATCAGATGAAACGGCCCTTTCCGTACGTACTTTATCTGACCACTCTTGGCCAGTCCACATGGATGGACAACTGATGGGGATGACCATCCCTATTGCAGGGGTGTCTTGTCCCCTTGTTTGACTGTTGATCCCGTTGATGGGGCTGCTTGTTGCGCCGCACGGCTGGGTGACAGAAGGCATCCTTTCAGAAAAAGGCTCGTCGGTCACCGTTTCGTACTTCCCTTCACTCTCCTTAGCCCCAACTTTCTCATCCCTTCCAGCCGCTCCCGCGTTAAGTTGCGCGTGTTTGAGTCGCCGTATCATGTCACGGTACCCCTCTACGGACGTCACCCCCATCCTCATTCGACGTTGGGGGCCGTCGTTGCTGCACACGTCGGCAACGTCATCCTTCGCTCCTGCTGCGGAAATCGGATTTTTTGAGAAGGAAGGAGACGGGGCCACTGAGACGATAGTTGATGGCGTAACTGAGATGGCAGTTGATGGTACCGCTGATGCGGCAGGTAATGGTACCTCTGATGCGGCAGTTGATTGCAACACTGATGCGGCAGTTGATGGTACCACTGATGCGGCAGATGATGGTACCGCTGTTGTGGCAGTTGATGGTACCGCTGACGCGGCAGTTGATGGTACAACTGAGACGACAGTTGATGGTACCGCTGATGCGGCAGTTGGAGTAGCAACTGAGGCGGTAGCCAGTAAAGTTGTTGATTCTATGGAGCCCATTTTATGGTTCGTCCGCTCGAATTCACCTCCGCCAGAGAAAAATATTTTCTCAGCACGTCTCTGCGGCGCTTCTGGCTTGCCGTTTACAGCCGAGGGAGGTCTAGGGGTGCGGTAGTGTTGTTCAACCCAAGTCTGGGAGTCGTTGGGTGTGCGGAAGTGTTGTTCACCCCCAGTCTTTGAGTCTACACCGTGAGGTTCTGGTTCGTCGTTGTAGTGGGTCTGGGGCAGACGATGCACCACTAGTGTCTTGCCAAGCGATTTGTTCTTTTCAGTTTGGTCCTCTTCGCTGGTGAATGAGAACTCCACGGCGTGAAGATCCGCCAGTTTGTTTCTACTGGCCGCTTTTTTGTTTTTGCTGGCGGCCATTTTGGGACCACAAGACTCCATCTCCCCGACAAGTGCGCAGTTCCTACGCAGTGCGATGGCGGCGATGGCGTGGCGGGCGGCGGCCGAAAGGTTTAGGTGAGTGGGCAAGGGTGGTGGTGGTGGCGGCTTTCTTGCGCGGGTAACCGAACTTGTTTGATTATTTAGGCTATATTTTTGGGATAGGTCTTTACCGTCTCCACTTCTACCTCTGGATTTGTCTTCGTTCTTGTCATCGTTTACGGCGTCGCCTACAGCACGCCCTCGAGACAACGTACCCATAGGTGGCGAGGGACGACGGGGGGCGAGGGCCAGCACATCGTCCAGCTCCTGCCGCCACTTCTGCGCCGTGCAGAGCGGGGCGGCGCCCCCCAAAAGTCCTCCTCCTGGTCCTGAATTATTGCTCTGCCTATCGGGGGGCCGGGGAGGCTGCATACCGTCATTCTTTTCGCGCTTCTTGTGTACATTTTTGGTGAGTTTTGGGCCTTCCCCGGTGAACTGTGGGGACTTTGTGGGGCTGTGGTTGTGGTCTGCGAGATTAAGGGTGGGATTTTCCCTGCTCCTGAAGGTGGTGACAGCCCCACAACGTCGGCCCCAGGCGTCGGGCGCTGTGACGTTGGGCCCGGAGGAGAATGGGCCTTCCTGGGCGCGCATCACAGCGATGGACGGTTAATGGTGGTCAGGGGCTTAGGGGGGACACAGCGGAAAACAACACAGTAGAGCACAGCACGGCACAGTAGAGCTTTGCACAGCACATTACAGCACAGCACAGTAGAGCACAGCACAGTAGGTCACAGCGCTGCATAGCACAGTAGAACACAGTAGAGCACAGTACAGCACAGTACGGAAGAGTAGATCACAGTGGAACACAGCACAGTAGAGCACAGTAGAGCACAGTACGACACTGTTGAGCACAGCACAGTAAGACACAGCACACAGTAAAGCACAACACAGTAGAGCCCAGTACAGTTACAACACAGTAGAGCACAGTGCAACACGACAGAGCAGCACAGCTAAATTTCCGTTCATATGAGCAATTAGTGCCCCTTGTGTCACCCGCGTGCGCCGATAGCACTAATCCGACCCCGCAACATGGATCGTTGTTGACACGCTCTTATCTCCTCGCGGAGGCCAACGCGTTACTAACCCAGTGAAAATTTACTGTAAATTTACAATAAATTCACAGCTAACGCGTTATTGGCCCAGTGAAAATTTACAGACGCAGCAGCTTCTGATTTGGATTACCAGAAGCTGGGCCGACTCTAAATTTTGTTAGGGAACGTTTACGCGGTGACATGGCACTTATTCCTTGCCCTATATATCTTCAACGTACGCGTTAATTGATGCTAATGCTATTCCTATCAAGGTCGAGAGTTGAAGACAATGGAGACAAGTTCGGGAGATCAATTTCGGACACACGCGCATAACCTCACACGACCAACGCCCGAGGGCAACTGACCTGCGGCGGTCGCCCACACTCACGTCACGTGTCCTTGGGTGGGGGGGGGTGAGGGGTGAGGGGTCAAACCTTTGCATGGAGGTCGTTCTTAATGCATTTAATTATTTTATATATAGTTTTATAGTTGTAATTGATTTGTTTCTAGATATAAATTCACGTATTTAGAGATTGAAATTGAATATTTTAATTAGAATAATCATATTAGAGTGACATGTAATACTTTTGTCATAATAGATTTTTGTGATAAAAAATAAGTTTGCGCAAAAATACACTGATTGAGATGTAATGCGAATAACAATTATCAGTTAATATATTAGTAATTAATATATTAATAACAATTATTAATTATTGGTAAAATTGTTATTTAAACAATAACAAAAATATTGGGAAAAAGATAAATATTGTTAAAAGAAATGCGACAACAGCAATTATCACGCAAAATAATTCTCTTCCTTCCAACATTATAGGTTAGGAGGGAATAGAAAAAAATTGATTGGTTTGAATAATTTGTAGCTTATTAAAAATAGATTTGCTTATATTGTTTATTTTTGATTTAAAACGAACAATAATATGAAAAACAGGGAGATGTCAGTCCATTCAAAAGCTTTAAACCTTTAAAGTTAAACATGTTCAAATAATTAATCCTAAACTTATATAAACCTTCAAAGTCAAACATGTTTAAACCTTTAATGTTAAGAATATTTAAAACTTCAATTTTAAACAAGTTTTACCCTTTAATGTTAAACATGTTTAAAACTTTTATGTCAAACATGTTTAAACTATCAATATTAACTGTGTTCAAACCTTTAATCTTAACATGTTTAAACTTTTAATGGTAAAAAATTTTAATTAAACCTTTAACGAGTTCACCTTCATTTTGCCCCGCAAGTCAGACCCTAAATTGTATGGGGCCCTTGATAAAATTTGTGTTGTGCGCACTATAGGGCCCCTACAACGGCCCCGAAATTGAGCTTAAGGGGATAGTCTGGGTAAAAAAAACTTTTTTATTTACGATCACTTCGAAACTTGGTGCACATGTGTAAAATAGAGATCTAAGACTTTTTTATTCGTGTAAATTTTTCAAAAAAATGAAATAAAACGCGAAATTCATAGGAAACGGCAAAAAGTGGGTACTGTAGAAATCTGTTTTGATGAGAGGGCCCCAGGCGGGGCCCCAGGCGAGAGCCCCAAGCGCGAGCCCCAGGCGAGAGCCCCAGGCGAGAGCCCCAGGCGAGAGCCCCAGGCGACAGCCCCAGGCGAGAGCCCCAGGCGAGAGCCCCAGGCGAGAGCCCAAGGCGAGAGCCCCAGGCGAGAGCCCCAGGCGAGAGCCCCAGGCGAGAGCCCCAGTCGAGAGCCCCAGTCGAGAGCCCCAGGCGAGAGCCCCAGGCGAGGGCCCCAGGCGAGAGCCCCAGGCGAGAGCCCCAGGCGAGAGCCCCAGGCGAGAGCCCCAGGCGAGAGCCCCAGGCGAGGGCCCAAGTGTCCCCGTCACGAGCGCTAATTCCCTAAATTGCTGGGAATTTGGGGCTCCGGTCCCGTGGGAACCGCGGCCGTGAGAGGGATTCCCACGTCCGTGGGAATGTCGGTAGCCTGGATACGCGACGATGGGTCTCGCGGGGG